AAACCTACATCCTGTATTTTGCAAGAGGAAGCTATCACATAGTTTCCCTTAACCTAAGATGACCCATGAATGAAAAAAGAAGAATTAACTTGTCTGAAGGATAATGACAGTAACACCAGAGAAATTAGTCCAAAATCTGAGCAGAGCCAATTAATATTACCAAATATAGTCTTAAAATCATTTGAGGTTGATCAGAACAGTTTGAGATAATTTGATTAATGTTTTAAATAACCTCAATTTTCCCTGTGTAGTCCAAACCAGTGACCCCAGTCAAAACCTAGAGACCTCTTTGTGGCTGCAATGTCTACTCCATCACTTCAGAAGTAGGTGAGCTGCTAGAAGTGGCTCAATTGTCCTGTCCTAGTGCCAGGTGTGGGATCCATCACTCACATTCCCTTCCCCAACTGATGCAATAGTTACTGCCCAGTAGCCGTGGCCACTCACTGGTAGGAGGGGAACTGGGATGTTTCAGATATCTATACCCCTCTCCCACACTACTGTACCACTCTGAACTAGTCATGTGAAATTTAAAAGAATTTTTTTTTCATCTGATTGAGCAAAGCTAGGGGGCTTAAACTCTGTTGGTGGTACCTTTGTTTCACCCTCATTTTCCTGCTCAGGGATTGATTTTTTTTTACTTTTATTTTTATTTTTATTTTGAAGTGGTACCAGAAACCAAACTCAGGACCATGTGCTTGCTAGGTAGGTGCTTGTGCTACTGAGCTATATCCCTGGCCCCAGGAGATGATTTTAAAATAGTACTCTGAGCTAAGTCCTTTGTGTTCTTACAAATTAAGGTAGTTACAAGAACCAAGAAAACAGCAAACATTTTTATGTACATCTATAAACATCTGTGGTTCTTGAGACTCTATCCCATTTTTGACTACTAATAATTCAATATACTCTTTTCCTTTTGTGTTTCTCTTAACACTTATATCTCTTTTGCTTCTCTTAAGCCTATATCTCTATATCTCTTTTTTAAGGTCAGTAGACTTCCATGCCCCACATTTTACACCTGAAAATTGTTAATATAACACTCCTGTGCTAAATATTGACTGACTAATGTACTTTTCTACCTAGCTGCACAGAAAAATTTGAGAAGAGTCTTCCTGCCTACCAATTCTCCTTGTGGGATCCCTATTCAAGCACTAAATTGTCATGGCCTGCGTGGCTCTCAGTGGTCCCCAGGAGAAATGGCAAAGGAATTTAGAAAAGAAAGACAAGAAAACAAGATTGAGGTCAGGTGGAAGCTTCTTACCAGATGGGAAAAGAGGACTGAACAACAACAGTAGGGTGTTTATTTATACTTGTACAAAGTTAGCAACACAAGACACAAGGCTGCCTAGCAACTGCTGACTGAAATTGTCTAGGTAGCATTTTTCTCAAGACTGAGGTAGCTTGATTTTTTTAAGCACTGTGGCCTTATCTTGCCCCCACACATATGACCAATTTCCCGCTTCAGCCAGTGCCAACACAGAGCTGTTAAACTAAGAGCTGAGAGCCATTGGCATTCAAGGTCCAGTGTGGTTGGCAGTGCTGCATTTTGCTGATTGATGATCTATACCTGAATTTAGTAAAAGAACCATGAACTCATTGATAAATTGATGCCATGGACTTCTGGCCCCCATGAGTTCTTGGGTAGGCTATATAGTTTTTAAAGCTCCTGTTAGGAACAAAAACAATCTTGTCAGTAATTTAAAAGTTCCATCCATTTGATAATAAGATCTAGAGTTTATAACCAGTAAAAACTCTGAGCCTTCACCCAAGCCAGACCTGCAATGTGTGATTACTGTGTCCTTCCATTGATCTGCTCTGTAGTAGTTAGCTGGCTCCTGGGCCACACCCCTTAAGAGTGGAGCCAGTGGAGATATGAACAGGGATAGGTACATCCTGTGGAGTTGGGCCAGCAATCTTGTGGCATGGGATCTCTGGGTGGTGGCTATCACAATTTCTGTGGCTTTCTCTTCTGGGGCCCTTTTGAGGTTGTCTTATCCTCAGTCTGGAGCTCATGCCACTGATCTTACAGTACAGTCTTACCATTGCTTCTGGCTGCTTCCTCTAGCTAACCTCACATCTCCCTTCATGCTTGCCCCCTGTTCCAAGTCATTTGTCTCTCCAATCCTCTGGATGGCTGACATCAGTCTCCTTCATGAGGCTGGTTCCTATTGTCACCCTCAAGTTCTATGTCATGAAGCTTTTTCTTGCCCTTTCTCTTCTACTACCAGATAAATGTGACCCTCACCAAACTGCAGGGTATACCTGCTATCTTCTGAGTAACTTCCTGTGGCCCTCATCAGCAGACTTCTGATGAAAGACAACACTCTTCTATTTCTCCAGATTGGAAATTGCAGGGGAATCTTTTCCCTCTCATTCTAGAAGAAGTTGTGAGCTAAGGCTAGAGAATTCTTTGGCAGAATTTTTGTTTTGTTTTGTTTTGTTGTATTGTGTTGCTGTGTCCTCCATAGATGACCCAGCACGTCTCTTTACAATATGAACATATTGGGAATCCTCTGAATTATGGGTTTATAGGTCCCCCTTTGGAACTTTTCAAAACGCAGAACCCACTGTGATACCACACTCCAATAATTAAATCAGATTTTCATGCATTTGTTTCCTTCTTTTGATTATTACCTTCAAATTTTTATTTTATTCCTTAATCTGGATGGCCCCAGGGCAGTCATGAAGGGAAACCCCATTCCCGGTAGCTGTTTGTCATATCCCCTTCAGCAGATTCTGGCCAGGTTGTTTCTTCAGTGAGCATAGGAGCCACAGATGGAAAGGGTGGCTGGGGCAGCTCCAGTTCACTCCCACCTGCTGGGTGCAAGAGCCATTACCTAGCAGGACTTCTGAAGCAGTCCAAAATCTTGTCTCTCACTCAGTGAAGCACAGTGAAATGGTGTTCAAAGGTGGATGCTTCAGTAAGCAGTAAACACTGATTTCTGTCTACATTAATTTTTCATTTTATAGTTTTTGTGGCCATTAGAGGAGAGAAGATTTATAGCCAAATTACCAGTCCATTTTTAATAAGTAAATATAACAAGAGACAGCATTCTTCTCTTTAAGTGATATTGGACACTTCACTCCATTTTAAAATGTTAGAAATATTTTGAGGCTAAACAGAGATGGCAAGAGACCTCATGAATAATGAAGTCCAGCTTAGATCCTCTTATGAGACCATTTATATGCTCTTGGAATCCATATGCTAGGAGGTAACAGAACCCACTTGCTGTGTAAGCTCCCAGGCATTCAGCTTCTCACAGGAAGGGTGCTTAATGAGAAGAAAAAGGCAGAAAACTTCCCACACTAATTCTTTGCTTGAAAAGGTCCAATTTTATCCTATGCCAGTAATGCAATCTGTTATGGTGCAATTGAATTGGGAAGTACTCAACAAATAATTCCCACGCATAGTCATTATTTCCTAAAGCTTTACTAAGTTAGTAACACTGCAGGCTAATGACTCAATTTCATTTTAATGTCATTTGTTCACATTCTTAGTACACATAGATCATGCCCTATTATATAACACTTAATGTGGGTGCAACCACAAGGGGCACTTGTGGTTCTGACTCTACATCATTGTTGTTTAGCACTTTTTAAAACAGGAAAGTGGGAGGTGTTGGGTGATTTCTATAATTAATTTTAAAGTAGTATTTTATCCAGTGATTTTTGGGGTAAAGTATTCCTCTCCTATTAGGAAGGAAAAAATATTTTTCACTTGGAGCAATTTTTACTTTCCAGTTTCATAATTAAGATATTTCCCACATTTTAATTATGCAGCTAGCTAAGACCCCTGCAAGTCTGCCCTTCCAGAATGTTCTCATTAAAGAAAATTAGGTCTATTGAAATACATTCTTCTGTGAGAGCTTTGCTAAATAACTTCCTCCACATATATCATCCTCCTCCATGTCTCTACCCCATCTATCAGCATTTCCTAACAACCCTAATTCTAAACAAAATGGAGATCTGGCTGCTGGGGTCACCTTGGTCTAACCAGTCTCATCTCCCTGTGCCTCCTTCAGTGGCTTTCTCACTGGTCCCCACACCTATCAGCATAGGCCTCCTGGAAGAGTCTTGTATTTCCTCATCATAAAGCTCATGTGCAGATTCCCATGTAGATTAAAATCACAACTTCTTGCCAGGGCGCATAGGCCGTCCTGTCCCTCACACTTCATCTCCTGAGGGCTAACACTAAGCTGACCCATGTATGTGGAGATGAAATTCTTTAGCATATTTGCTAAGATGAACTGAAATACTGAACTATTTCTGTGTGTTGGTAATTAGTGCCTGTCTATCAGTACTATGGGCTACTGAGAGCCCTTTCCCTTTCCTTGGGAAGTCTCAGTAGGGATGCAGGGGTGGGCCAGGGTATCAGGCCTGAATCCCAGCAGGGGGTGCTGCCCAAGCTAGCAGCTAGCATTATGGCAAGCCAACTCTTACCCCTTCAACTGCTACCTCAAAGTCAGCCTCTGATGGCTGTTTTGTGGACCTAGAGCCCCTGCAATGTGTTTTTATTACATAGCATATGCTGGGTATACCATTTGTGGTTAATATTTTTCTGAATAGTAAAAAGTTTCCTGTTTTCTCTAGATAGTTACATCATGTTCTCTTTAATTCACATGTGTGTAATTTTCTCTAGTAGGAGACATGAAGTTCTCATGGTGTAAATTCAATATGATCTTTACAGAGAATAATACTCTCATCATTCTTTTCAATATTATATTCACATCCATAATAATAACATATTAGAATAAAGACAAATTTAGCTTTTAAGAACAAATAAAAATATTAAAACATAATATATGTCTACAGAGGATCACATAGATATCTCTCCAGTGCTGCTAACATACTTTAAAATATTTGCTAAGAGGATTCTAAACTTAATTGCTTTCCCACAAAATAATTTGCGATCAAGGGGACAGTGGGAACTGATTTTTAATTTTCATTTATGGAGACTGGGATATTTCTTGACCCCTCTATTTCCTGCTTTCTTCTATTGGCAGAGTACGTTTCCTCATGGGTGGACGCCATGGAGAATTTAAGTTCCTGCCTCCCTCTGGCTATGCCCCTTGCTATGAAGCCTTACTTCCAAAGGAGAAGATGAGATTGGAGCCTGTCAAAGAATATAAACGTGATGCTGATGGTGTGAGAGATCTGTTGGGTACCACACAGTTCCTCTCTCAAGCCTCCTTCATCCCGTGCCCCATTGATACCAGTCAGGTAGGTTCAGATTGCCAATGAGAGGCAACACTGTGGGTGAAGTAGGAAAGTTAAATCCTTCTTTCTACTGTGTTGTCTTTGAGCCATGCTTACTATACATTCTATAGATTTGTGAATGTGAACAACTGTTGTCCATGCTGTTCCTTATGCAGAGATGGAGTGTGTTAAGAACTTCTCAGAGAACATATGGAGCACCTGCTGCATGCAAGGTGCTGTACTCTGTGAAAGGTAGGGAGAGATGCTCTATTATTCTGTGAAAGTTCACAACCAACTTGCAGGTATAGTCAAATATATTCTGCTTTAAAGGCCAAACGTAATAAATGCAGAATGAACAATATGTGCAAGTCAGTGCTAAAAATGTCCTTTAGAGCAGAGTATTTCTAGGAGTCTGTGTAGAACAGATGGAATTCAGTCAAAGCCTTTGCTAAGCCTAAATGTGAAGGGGCATCCAGGGGAATTGTAATAGTGATGAGAAAAATAAAAGCCAGGGAGTAGAAACAGCAGGGTAGGTGGCCATGAAAATCCTCTTGTAGCAGAACAGTTGGAGGAGGAGCAAAGAACAGAAAGAAATTGAAAAATAAAAGCGAGATCAGATGGTGTAGAAGACATGAGAGTGCTGCTAAGTGGGCATTTCTTTCCCTTCCAAGCTGTGTATTTTGGGAGAGACATTCACATACTTATGACAAGTGATGAAAAAGCAGTAGCATTCAGCATTTCCTACACATCAGTGCTGTTTGCATCACTATTCTAAGGCATTATAGAAAAATTAGTGCAATGGGGCCTTGCCTCTGAGCCACTTGGGGTTCATGATTTATAGGAATAATGGCTCCTTCATCCCTTAGAGTGTCACTAGTATGCATCTCCAATAATATGCTTTTTTTAGTCCATGATAGCAGTACCTGAAATTTACTTTATCTTAGGGAATAGGTATATGCCCTTAGCACATCTTGATTCCTTTTATTCCTTTTCCTCTCCCCTCCCAACTCCCTCCTTCGGTCTCTTTGCCCACGTTCCTTATTATTATAAGTAGTAGTAGTAGTAGTAGTAGTACATATTTATGACATAAAATATTTACATTTTATCATAGGTATTTGGTATGTGTGCATGATGCATCTTAAATCATTTTATGCCTTTTGTCTCCCCCTTCCCCCATCTCTTCAACCCTGTTACATGTATACTTCATGCAGTTAATGATTGTGAGTCCCTGTGAGACAGAAACTGTGGCATTTCTCTGCCTCATTCAGAGCCTATAGCAGCTCCCTGAATGCAGACAGATTGTCAGTAAAAACCTGGGAGATGCTCATGGCCTGGAGTTCATGGTCCTAGGATTTGGGTCATCATGTTCCTGTGCATTCTGGATGTCACAAGGGAAAACCTTGTCTTTCACTCTCCTACATTCTGTAGGAGACTTGCCTCTGAGTCAAATTCACACTGGGAACTGTGAATTTAAATCTAACAATTTAGCAAGAGAAAAAATGACTTTGACCACCTCATACAGAGTTTACAAAGATATGGGACTCAAAGGTTAGTACTTGAAGCTCATGTAGCATCTGACAAAGGAAAGGGGAATAGGTAAGATCACTTCTGGGAAAGCAGTTGAAAAGATAAGTGGGCCTTTAGGAGAAGAGATGGGAGATATAGGTATGAAGAGATGGGAGACAGGGGTGTCTCGTGTGGTGTTGACATTTCTTGTTGACAAGTCCTAGAACAAACAGTTGAATTCTTTTCGGGAGCTCTTCTTTCAAGCAGATATTGGGAATTCCCAAGTGTTCTTTTCTATATCACTTGTTTCCCAGATGGCCACACCTCAGAGTAATTCTCATGCCACTATGGCATATTCTAAGACAGGTAGCTTTCCCGGGACTCCAGGGCTGCTATGCCTGAGTGGGGAAACCAGAGCATGCACTGAGTTCCCTATGGGTTGCCTTTGCCTGCTAGGTCATCAGAAATGTGTGTGATATTCAGGCAAGGCTTCCTGGAGGAAGCTGACCCAGAAAGAGTTCAAAAGAATGAGAGGAAGTTCTGATGAGGGGAGAGAGGAGGGTTTGATCCCAAAATAAAAAGATTTCTCTGAACACACAGGATTAAAGATTTGGAAATCAAGCCACAGAAATATACCCATAAGCCAGAATAACTTCGACATCTAGACTTAGAGCTGAACGATCCCCTAACTATGGAAATGCTGGGCAATCAATTCATAGAGAAGTTCTTAGGGAACAGAAGCATTTATTCCCTTCACTGAGACCTTGTCATGTTTTTAGAATCTAGCATTCTTTGAAACTGCTGTCAAAGGGGAAGTTAAACATAAGATACAGAGTCAAGCCTCCACAGGGCACGTTAACCCTTTCTTTGTAATACTGTTAACTGTAACACTTAAATCCTGGCCCAAATAGAGCTCTGCCTGGGTGCAGCCCCAGCTCCTTGCTGAGCACTAAGAGGAAATCCCAGCTCCCAGTACCTTTCCCTAGTGACTCAGCCTCCCAGGAAGCAATGAGCCAGCCAGTGCTGCTTTAGCTGGTTGCCCTTGAAGTCCCTGAATTTATCATTAGAGATTATTTCTGGTGGCCTCTCTGCTCATCAATAAGCTGCATTTCTCCCTTTCACTGGAGTGTGTGGTTCCTCCAACCTGTAATTCACCTTCAGGATGTCATCAACTAGAAGACATTTAGTTTAAATGAGGAAACTTAGTAAGAAAAAAAATTAACAGTCATAACTTGTTTGATAATAACTTCCCCATTATGCTCCTTATGTAAATATTATGCTTACTTTGACTTTCTATAATTAGATGAAGTTGAATTTTTGAAAATATGCTTTTAATTAAAAGGCAAATAGTGATTATAACATGAAAACATTTTCTCTGTGATCTTACCTCACGGACTTGATACATTTTCTTCTGCAAAACAGTGTTTTCTCCATCAAATTGGGGTTAGTTTAATCACAGGACTTTAACAGTAAAACAGTCGTGCTCATGGTGATAGAAGTAGGATTTCCAAGACCAAGTGGATGATGCACAGCTGAAGAAGGAAGAGCATTCAGGGTCCCCTTAAGATGACAACTGTGCATGTCTCTCCCTGGTAGCTACTAAAGAAGTGTGGGTCCAGTGTTGGCTGTCCCCCAAGACTCAAAGGAAATAAGCAATCTCAACTTTTACATGAAATGCCCCATTTCTTAGAGACTGTCAGCCAATAAACATGAACATAATAGTAACAACAGCAAATTAAAGAAAATAGAAAAAAGCATGGGCCTTTAGTTTGTCACCTCTGCAAAGAGGTAAGAATAAAGTTCCAGGAAACACAGAAGAACTCTCTTTAGAGGTCAGCAGGGAAGCTTCACAAAGGCAAGGCCACTGGACCTAAATTCAGAAGGACAAATAGTTGAAAACTCTCAAAAAAAAAAAAAAAAAAAAAA